TGTTTAGTTCTTCTATAGTAGTTTATTATATATATATATATATATATATATACACCTTACCTACGCTTAAAAATAATTAGCAGTATACACAATATATGTATTGCTAGATTTTGTTTAAGAACCTAAATAAATTGCTTAATGTACTACAAAGGGTGCATGTCACTGCCCTTTTCTTTTTTTTGTTCTTGAACACCACTGATGGAAGTGGGCTTTATGACTGCTACGGCTTTGTAAGTCGCGATTACCTGTAACTTGAATGCTCTTCAACCCTGACCCCTCTCCCCTCTTCTACCCTCCTTTGGTCCAATCCTACCTTTCATTCTACTGAGCCGAGCACTGACTTTACCGGTCCATTCCACCCCCCTTTCCTTTCACGTGTGACAATTTATCTCATATTTTGGGGGTCCAATCCACGCCAAAAAGGCCGTTTGTTACAAATGATCCGCCGTGCGCTGTTACACCCCACGACCCGCCAGGGGGGGGCCCGTGCCTCTTTGGCCCCCCTTTCAGCCCTGTGTGGGACTTCGGCCCTGCGGAGCACCCCGCGCCGGGCTTCCACCGTCGCCATCTCCATCCAAGGGCTGCACTACGTCGGGACGGGGCTCGCCGCAATCGCGCTGGCCGGCGTGGGGATGGGTATTGGCACCATCTTCGGCTCCCTCCTTATCGCCTGCGCGCAGCAGCCGAACCTCACGAAGCTGCTTTTTAACTACGCCATCCTGGGCTTCGCCCTGACAGAGGCCATTGGCCTCTTCGCGCTGATGTTAGCTTTTCTGATGCTCTTCTCGTAAATAGTTAGCACCAGACGCAAAATGGGTTTGAAGAAAGAGAGGGAGGACACATTTAGGCGAAAGAGAAATACATGGATTATCAAATCTAGAATTTTTTTTAGTATTTTGACTTATATAAATAGATATATAAATATAAATATGTATATATATATATATATCCACACATATATATATATTTATATTTATATAATTTTTATCGTAGGAGGTGAAAACATTGGAAAATGATCATTGGTTTTTAATTAATTTTTAATCAGGAAATGCATCCAATATAACTGAAAACAGCCAAATATCTGTAAGACGGTCATGTGCATGCGTGGAGCGTACTGAATAGAAGGAAATAAAAATTCAACTTACATATAGTGATTTGATAGTATTTGTATGGAGTGGTCTAAACTATATTAGTGATTTTACTTGTTACTTTTTTTTTTTCTCAATGAATTTCATTTTCTACATTTTTTCTTTATACCTTGAACCAGAAACAAAAAGGTCTTGAGGTGAAATATATCTGTTACTTAAAGTAAAAAAAATTTTATCCCTTTTAGGTTAATATTGCTTGTTTTCTCACGTTACCATACTTTTTCTTTTTGAATATTTTATTCGATCAATTTACATTTCATCTCCACTCTCTCTTTATCTTCAGAAGATTATCCATATTTCAGTTTTTTTTGATAGTTTAAGCTTGAGGATGTCGTAGGCTAATGGATCTTTCAAATGGTCAAATCGCTAAATATTCTGGCGTTTTTAACCCTCAAAATTTATTTTCATCTGAATTAAGTGAGATCACGTTAGCATATAAAAGTATAGCTTCACGTTAGTCATAATAAAATTTTTTTGAGGGGGTAGGATTAACATGGCTTAGTATTTCGAGGTCGTTGTGCATCTAATATTCTTAGGCTCTATGAGTTTTAATTATCGCGTTAAATAAAGAATGAATGCTTGTACGGATTATTGTGAAAAAGACATTCTATTATAGTGTGTATACTAATCTGAATCGTCATTTTTTTCTAATTTTTTAGTTCACTTTATTGAGAACTAATACACCTGAATACTTTTTCCCTTTTTATGACATTATTATTATTATTATTATTGTTACGATTACTGCATTTTTCCTACTTAATCGCGTCTTTTCTTTCAGATATTTATGTATTCATTCATAAATAACTCGATACAACAATTTTATGGCGAGATGAGCATGTATATTTAAATGTGTCTATGCTTACTCGCCAATTCTGAAAAAAAAGTGCTAAAGTTTCTGCTATTTGATGAAGATTAATGAAATCCACCTTTTTCCTCTGATAGGATTGCTGCATCTATTCAACCCTTTTGGCTTTTAGATTATATATTTTTTATTTACCAAATGATATTTATTTTCTGTCTTTCATTTATTGCCTTTCTTGCTTTTCAGTGCTTAGATTTAAGCGAAAAGGATTTTTTCTTCTTAAACCCTTTGAAGGAATTATTTCCATTGAAGGAAAGTCATTAACCTTTTCTAAATTAGTTAGCGTCTTGTTACCGTAGTGACACGATTTCCCCTACCCGGCATTTCGTTATTACATTCCCACAAGTCCGCTGCATCTAATTTTTTTTCTTTTTTTTCAATTACCTAACCTCATAAGGGTTTTGTGGCGTCGATCCTCACCCATTAGAAACGAACCCTCCCCCCC